GCGGCTTGTCTTCTTTTACTTGTCCTACTCGATGGGCTTTCTCAACTACTATGTGCTCTGCAATTCCCAATTGGTTTTTAAAGATATTTTTTACTATGCTAACACAGTCATTCCATGTTTCAGAGTTAGATTCGGATACTCCGTCAATTCTTAGATTGTTACGACGTGATCTATTTTCCAAATCTATAGTCTTCTTTTTTAATATACTAATTTCATCATTTGAATTAATTTCATCAACTGAACTACAAATTAGAGACGAACTACAAATGAGAAATGATACAAATGATGAGAAATGATACAAATGATGAGAAATTATACAAATGATGATACAAATGATGAGAAATGATACAAATGATGATACAAATGATGAGAAATGATACAAATGATGATACAAATAATGATACAAATGATACAATGATGATACAAATTGATGATACAAATGATGATACAAATGATGATAAAAATTGATGATACAAATTGATGATACAAATGATGATAAAAAATTGATGATACAAATGATGATACAAATGATGAGAAATGATACAAATGAGAAATAATACAAATGAGAAATGAACTACAAATGAGAGACTTTTTTAATATACTAATTTCATCATTTGAACTAATTTCATCAACTGAACTACAAATAAGAGACGTTCAATCATTTTTAATTGAGAAATAGATGACAACATATTTTCCTAACTTGTCTATACTCGGCAAAATCGACTTGACTCTTCCTTTTACATAGAGAAGTTTTAGTCGACTAAATATTATCAAAATTTATCTGTGATCAAAAATGACAAAAGAATGTGTTTTTGAATTGGCATTAATTTTAATTGAACATGAGTTTGCCAAAGGCTTTGACTTTGAATTGTCAAAAATTATTTTGTTTCAACCAAGCGGTCCGTAAGACTATCTATACAACATATTATAGACGTCAAAAGTACGTAAAATGTTTATAGGATGTCCAACAAACATTTTATACCCGATGGAAATGAAATCTCGAAGAAAACCATTTGTATAAACTTGCCGGAAAGTAAACTTCTTTCTTGATGCCTAAAAACAACGAAATATGTATAGTGTAAATATATTTAAAAATAACGGAACCATTGCGATAATATTAAATGTTACTTAGTTTTTTTTAACGAAAATTGTTAACCTAAGTAAACTTAGCAAACTCAAATTTTAGAGAAATAATCATAATAGAGAAACTAAGGGAATTATAATTGAAGGAAAAAAATTCAACAAGGCGCGGACGATACTAACAGGAGATGATTCTATTAAAAAAAGTCTGCTTTGATTTGAAACTTAACAAAAAGCTACCGGGGCTAAAGTAAACTTAGCCAAATGTCAAAGCATATGGCTAGGCTAAATTTATTGTTCCACTACCTAAAAGACTTTTAATAAAAATGGAAAAAAAAAAAGTTTTTTTTAAGGTAAGAAACCTGTGTAGGTTAAATAAAGAAATAAAACAACAAAAATTGAAAATGATAGGATTAGAAAAGTCAACTTAACAAATAAACTTTAGGCAATCTAAATGCAGTGGGTTTAAAACTGTATAATTAAGGTTCGGAATGAACATGGAAAAGGATCATGGGAAAAATACTATACTACATATATAAACACTCATAGGAAATCAAATTAATACAAATATTTCAGACCGATACACAGTGGTCTGAAAAACTTGATTTTCAGCCAAAATTAAAATTTTGATGTTTTTATGCTAAATCAATAATGCTGAATCTAAATCCGAAAAGGTTTTGTGGTTTATCCTCCGCCAGCTTATTGCCTTGTGGAGGCCACATTACCTCGGTCCGCAGAGACTTGTTTTGGCTCCAAAAGGTGTGTTATAACCCGCTCTACGGACTAAGAATAAGGTGAGTTTGGGAAGAACGAAGATATGTTAGAGTAAAAGGCAGAAGTAGTCGTGTTAGAAAAATAGCATGGAGAAAGCGGACAGAATTGTGCACGATGTTAGAAGGTGCAATAGTGCTGTTAGTCGAACCGACAAAGAATTGGAGAGTTCACTGAAAATGAATCAGTTGCTTGATCAATATTTCTAGCATTGAATGCCATCATCACATGCAGAACTAAATTATTTTATGTGAAGCATATCCGCTAAGGCGCATTTATCATTTAGGCGCTGATAGATATTGGACTCCCAACTTGAAAAATTGAGACAAGCGTTCATAGTTAAAAAACTAGATTGTAAGTGGTTGTACGCTGGTATCAATCTCCTTTACAGCTTGCTAGTAGGCAACAACTTTATTAGCAACAAGACAACTATTAATGCCAGGTATTCCATCATAAAAGCAGTTGAAAATTAACGTCTTGGCCTGTTACAGAATATTCAGACGAACGTAATGGAGCTAAGCGAGAACAGGCTGCGTGTCTACTTTACGCTGTTCAAAACTACGCACCGCATGAGTTTTGTCATGATCTGATGGATGAAAGTTAGGGTAATGGAATGGTAACACAATGGTAATAAAAAAAGATAAAACTAAATATCGATTACAAAAAAACAAATTTGATAAGAAAGAATTTTGCGGTACATTATACTTATATTCTAAAATTAGTAACTATTAAATCGAGATGGTTCAAGATAGTTTGTTTAAAATATTATTTTTTTATTTTATGATACTTCCTCACTATTTAAATTGCTATCTTTTCTTACTTACGTCATTAAAGTATATAAAAAAGTTTAAAATAATAGATACGCTTACTGTTTACGATAATTTTATTGATGACTTATCCAAATTCCATATCATGCATATTTATTTATTCTTTAATTGCTCAACTTTCCCCACGCAATTGCTCAACCTGCCCCAACTGGGTAAGTTGGGGCAGGTTGAGTAACTGGGTAGGTAAACGTAAGGCGATATCTTCTCAAAAAATTAAAATATATACTTTTACCTTAATCAATTTATAGCAAGTTAAATTAACTTTCCAATGAAAAAATTATATAAATTTAAAAAAAATAAAAAACTTTGCATGAAAATTTTGATTTGATTGGATGGTTTTCATGATGCGTAAACAACTTGCATAGCTCTTTATCTGTGTTTAATAAAAAAAGCGTTTTTAGGCAGTCTACGAAATAAAAAAACTTAAATTTTTTTCTGTACTGTCTCTCACGAGAGGAGATAAGAAAAAACGTTGCTGATGGACCTTAGGTGTCATAATAAGAAACTAAAAGAACTTTTGCTGAAGTCTTAATTAAATCTGGAATCGAAACTGACATACGTAAAAGAAGTTCACATGACACGACACACGACACGACGGCTAATTTCAAATACAGATTTAACATCTTTTTATTTACTATAAATTTTATTTTCAACTTATTTAAAATTATTCGAAATAAAAAAAAAACGCATTTTGACCCATTTTTACCCAATTTGTTTAATTGTAAAATTTGACCTATTTTTACTACTTTTAGTAATAGTATTATATACTATTACTAAATATATTTTTAATAATAGTATTATATACTATTACTAAAAATAAATAAATTATTTTGACTGCCCTTTTACTTTATCTATTATTATATCTCATTTGAAAAACATTTAAAATACCTAATCTGGAAAATACTCAAAGCTTTTAAACTTGTTTCAACTAAGGACGGGCGAATATTCGTTAAAATTTGTATTACGAAGTTTACTGAAAGGCGAAATTGACTTCGGTTTCGACTTCGGCGCCGAAGTTGAAATTCGGCTTTTAGTAAACTTCGGTAAGTATTTCAAAATTTAATTAAACTTTCAGATAAAATTCGAAATCTATAAAGTTTTTTTCAATTTATAAAGAAGAATTATAAAATATATTATATGTTTTATGTAAATCAACCTGTTTCTATTGGTTACAACCCTCTTTCAGAGTTAAGAGAGGGTTGTAACCAATATAAGAAGTAGTTTCCTTGACTTAAGTGGCCTACAACTTTGGAAACATGAGTTGGGTAAAAATAAAAAATCGTTCATGTTCGTTCAAAAACATTAAGATTTGTAAATATTCCATAACTTAAATTTTCATTATCACTGAATTTTAAGATTTTTTATTTTGACGAAAATTATTTTTTGTAAGCGTATACTTTTTTAATAAATTAAAATATACTTGGCTTCACTTGTTCTATATTAAGTTTTAAATTATGGATAATTATAAGCTAAAAAATAATAACTTTAGTTTATAAAAAATGATTATACAGCAACCTCTGCGCAGTGGTTGGAGCGCTTGCTTTAGAAACAATAAACCTAGGGTTCGAAGCAAGCTCTAGACATATTTCACACCATCGGTAAGGAAAAAGGTTTGAACTTTCTAGTTTAATACTTTTCTGGTTTACTCCGTGGAAAAACCGTTAGATCTTCTCGGAACATTTAAAGCAACAACAACAAAAAAAATTCTTTTTTAATTAAATATGTTTTTAAAATCCAAATTCGTCTTTCAGTTAAATTCGGTTTACATATACGGCTTAAATGCGTCTTTCAGTTAAATTCGGTTAATAAATAATTAATAAATTTAAGTTCAATAATTCACCACCTGAATATAAACGTACTTTTTAATTTTTACTTAAGCAAAAACTCATAACTTAAGCTTACTAACTTTTAACAAACTTACTTTTTACCTTACAACTGCAATTTAATTAATAGCTGCAATTTTACCTTTTACATAAACCAGTCTAAATTATTGTATATTTTTATTTTGTTTTTTTAAGTATTTATTCAAATAACTTTTATATTATTAACTTTATTTGTTAAATTTAAAAAAATTAAATAAAAAATGAAACTTTACTAACGATAATTTTTACTTAAAATAAATATCTTTATTAATACAAAATAATTTATACAATTAAACATTTAAAACATGTTTTAAACTATTATTGACATGGTTCAAATTCTTTGAAGAATAAAAGAAAAATGAGGTATTCGTCGAAGAAAATTTCAAAGAAGAATTATTTTCTTCAAAGGATACAATTAATCTTCGAAGAATACAAAAAATTCTTCAAAGAATACAAAAAATTCTTTTAAGAATACTATATATTCATCAAAGAATAAAATTAATTCTTCGAAGAATACATAAAATTCTTCGAAAAATTAACTATATTATTTCTAATATTTTCCAAAATATATTGTACACGGATTTGTTTTTCCTTCAAAAAAGTTATTTTTAGCAGAATGAAGTCATTCTTTCTTAACGTCACCAAAATCACCATGCTTTCCTTCCGCTTCATATTTTTGCACCTTTTGCAATGGTGGAGAACAGACTTTTTGAGGTTGATCATTCCAAGGCTGTTTATCGCCAGATACTGAAAGCGCAAAAAACACGACTCCGAATCCATAAATAAAAGCAGTTATCCAAAAAACTGTTTGCCATTCTGCAGCAGTCTAAAGGGAGAACAAAAACTATTGGAAGAAAAAAACTAAAACCTTAAGATCGATCCTCAATTTCGCCACAAAATAAAACATTTTGTATATCAAAAACAATAAAAATAAAGAAAGTTTTTTTTTCTCCTAAAGTTTTTACTTTAAATTTTGACTTTTTATAGAATTCCAACAACTTTAAAATTTTCAATAAACGTTTTCAAAAATATGAAAACGTTTATTGAAAAACTTAAATATAGTTTTAGGCAAATTGAATGAAATAAATTTTTTTTGGATAAAAAAGTTTTTTTTATCATTCTGAAATTGTTCAAGTAATTATTATTGTGTATTAATTACTAATTATTATTTTGTGGATTCATGATCTATATACTGTATGTAACATTAAGCATAACATTAGGGTAGCAAATAATAAACTTTTTTAAAAAAAGTTAAAGTTAACGGGTGTTTTTTTGAGGCGATATTTGACGCAGAATTCGATTCTGGAAAGAAATTGCAGCTAGTATGACGATTTAGGCTAAAAAAGTGAATTTATTTCAAGATGGCGGCCAAAAATAGTCATAGCCTCAAACTTCATGTACTGAAGCCACAACCACGACCTCCAATATCTCTTTTTATAGGATTTCGTGGTTGCTGAATTCAACTCTATAGTCTATTCATGCATACAAAGTATCACCAGCCTGATATTGTAATTATCATAAAGCCATATTTAATCATCGGACCACTTTAGTAATCTATATCATCAATCATATAAACAAACATTTACACACAAGGCCAGCGCGATAGGGGGTGCGGGGGTGTGTGACACCCCCCCCCCCCCAGTAACAATTTTTAGTCGGCAAATTGGATCCTTAGTCGGCTAATTGGACCCTTTTGATATAGGTTAGTCGATAATCTAGACAGTCGGCAAATGTCGTCATGACAGTCGGCAAATTTTAGAAAACGAGGACCTTTTTTTTTTAAGTCGGCAAAAGTTGTAATGGCCCCCCCTCACGTGACACATACTCGCGCCGGCCCTGTTTACACATCATCACTGTTCACAGAACTGTGTAGTGTATCAATGTTGTTCGAGAGTTCATTTGGTTTTATTGCATTACGAATGGAACATATTAGTTTGTCAATTGTAAAATTCACCATTTTGAATATTCCAGAATCAAGTTTTATTCGTCGTCGTTGTTTGATTTCATGCGCTATTGTCAGAAATAGGTATTGATTAGCTGTCTCTTATTGAACCAGTCCAAAATATTGACAGTTTTTGGAGTTATAGGGCCGATGTGTTCTTTGCACTTTTCAAGAAGTGTTTTTTTACTTTTTTTTTTTGACGTTTAATCACCACTAGTTGAGGAGCTAAGAAATTAGCTTCTAGCTTCCTGATTTGTCCTACTTTGCAGGAGGTCCTTGCCCATTTCCAACATTTCTTTTCCTCGCTTCCAAGTATTTCTAAAAATTCTGAATTTAGCAAGTAGGCATTGCTTGTCACAACATTCTTTCTAGAAATTGTCCGTATTGATGTAGCTCCACCACATATTTTTATGTGACTGTCCTGCTTTGCCAACTCTGACTCAGATCCAAAACTTGTCAGTGACATGTGCTCGATTTTGCCATCTATTCTCTCTCTTTCAAAATCTTTCTGTATGTCGTTAGAGTCTGGATTGATGACTGTTAGCATTATTTCTAGCTTCTTTCAGTTGTAATAATTTTCCTTTGAAAAACTCCATCACACCATTCCAGCTTGAATCATATTTACTAGTTCTTAGTTTGTCTGTTCTTCTCTTGTCAATTCAAAGTTATTCCATTGTAGGAAAAATAACAATCTCGCCTATTTCATCATACACTTCTGAACAGAGAATGAACCAACTGTTCTGTATATAAACTGATATGGCTAGTACAAGTTTGTTTGAGTTTTTGTCCACAGTCACTTCAAAAAAGTCTAGGATTGATTGTCTCCTGGTTCACTTTTTCACTATTTCAGTAATATGCCCAAAGTGTTTAGAAACAAAACCTCTGAATCAACAATGCTCAATATTTTGAAGATCCATCCAGCCTTTGTATGTTGTTTAACCAAAATCATGAAAGTTTGGTATTCGCCTCTTATCATCTTGGTTATGTTTTGTTTACAAAGCGGATAGACATTCTTCGATATCCAGTTGTCAGATAGTTTCTGCGACACTTTCCTGCGAAAATTTTAGAACCGGGTCTCACTGAACACAGGTGTTTCATCCATCCAATTAAATGCACACCACTTTTCAACTTGGATTTACCAATGAACGTCAGTTCTTCTTAGTACACTACCCCACAATTTTGAGAGTTATAGTATCGCTTTTATTTTTGACTGAACTATCCATGTTTTTTGGCATGGTGGATCAGTGAGACCTCAAATAAGAAGTCAACACTAAAACAATGCGTTTTTATAGCAAAATGAACATGCTGCAGTTCACATAGGCCCTTTAGTGGTCAAGTATGTGCACACTACCTTTGTAACTATTCAAGTTGCACATCTAACTTCGCAATTATTTATTAAGTTTTAAACATTTCTCATTTATTTCTGCAATACTTTGGGACAGAAACACATGTTTCTGACCTAAAACGCTATTTAAAGTGCAAATTTTTGTAATATACGGTCCCAGCGCCCAAGAAGACATATAGAATAATATATCACACGCATATTTTCGAAGAAAAATATTTTTTCACCAATTTTTTGCAGTCATTTAAAAAAAAAAGAAATCACTGTCGCATGCCAAAAATTCTTCCAGATTTGAATTCAACATCACATTTTGCTTAAGAAACGCATCAAATTTTCATTATACAAAAACTTCAATAAAATCAATAAAATTGTTCTTAATTTTAAACTATATATGTACAATTTTGTTGTGATTTTCTCAGTTCTTCAGTGGATCTATGCAAATTTAACAATATATAAGCATAAGCGTTTGACTATTAATAATTTAAATATATAAAACTTGTGCCAAAAACAAACAGATCAATCAGCCCTTAAACAATAAAATTTGAAAAATAAAAAATTAATGATGCATCTCTATAATAATCAATTTTTATTACTTTATAAGATAAGGTGATCTATATATATCATTTTTATTATTCTATAAGATAAGATAAAGTGATCTATATATATATATATAATATTTAAAAAATAACTGAATAGTGCATCTCTAATATTAAAATTGACGCCAAAATCGCCCTATTGGAAAGCCCCAGAACGCTGAACAGAATTTGAAAATACAGAGATTTCGCTTGAAGATTTGTTTATGTTTTACTTTCTACTTCGCTTGAAGATTTGTTTATGTTTTATTTTCTACTTCGCTTGAAGATTTGTTTATGTTTTACTTTCTACTTCGCTTTAAGATTTGTTTATGCTTTACTTTCTAAATGTGTTTTTATAAAAATGTGGAGCAATAATTGATTTAATTAAAGCTTTAGTTTTGGTTTGTGCAGACAAAAATATATATCTATTGAATCTGAATACATAACTTTTTATTAACTTCTTATTATATTTTGTGCACAAGAAAGTTGACGCCTTCTTCCTTATCAATGTTACAAATGTGGCCACAGCTGGTATCAAATCTCGGACATCTATATATGATCTATATATATATCATATTTATTAATCTATAAGATAAGATAAGGTGATGTAAATATATCACTTTGTCTATAAGATAAGATAAGATGATCTAATTATATCACTTTGTGATATATATTTAAATCACCTTATCTTAAGATAAGATAAAGTGATCTAAGATATTTATTCTTTATTTTCCTTAGGCTATAGCTCCCTCTATTAGGCTATTACAGCTCCCTCTATTAGGCTATTACAGCTCCCTCTATTAGGATATTACAGCTAGATATCTAAAAGTTAAAATGAAGTACCTATTACAGCTCCCTAGATATCAAAAAATCAAAATGAAGTAGTTATTACAGCTCCCTAGATATCAACAAATTAAAATGAAGAGCTAAAATATGGTTAAACAATTTATCAATGTGATTTATTTTAAGAAACTGTTTATATAAAAAAAAAAACAATAAGAAATCAATGACTGCGTTACATTAAAATAGGCAATTAAAAGGCAATAAATTATTTTAAATTAATTCCATTAACTTTACTTGGAAATTTAATGAAACAAATTTAATATTATTTGCAATAATAAGGCAGCAATACTTCTTTATTATGAAGTACTGCACAGGTTTTTCATCAACTGAATTAAATAACTCTTTTATTTTCAATTCAATAGTACGCATTATAAATTTCAGACAATTATTCTGTTAGCAGAATAGTTCAGTCAAGTTATTTACAATATTGGCATAACTAACAATCCAGCATTTTTTTTTTAAATATAATTGGACTTTGATTGATATTAAATCAATGATTGTTTCACTTTTCTTAAATATAAAAAATGTATATTTATAAATATTCTATTTTCTTTCAAATTTAGATGTTCATAATAATATTATTTGATGAGCTACTTATATTGCATTTTTTTGACATATATCTCATAATCTAAAATAACAATCCACTATATTGCTTCGAACTTCTTTCAAAGTTTCATTTGTCTTTAATTAAAACTTTGTACTAATTTGCAAACTATTTAAAAGTATTTGAGAATTTTTATTTAAATAGTTATAAATATTCGTAAAATTTGATTAAAATAAAACAGAAAAATGAGTATCTAATTATCTACAATATTTCAGCAACAAACAATCAAATTGACTGTAAAAATTGTTGATAATATAACAAAATAAAAATCATAATAATGAATGAACAAAACATTCGAATGAGAGAAACTGCAAAATATTTCAATACAATACATGCCACTTTTAGCAGAATAATCAGCTGATAAAGATACAATACAATTCAAAATCTTCAATGTCCTGGGAGACTCAGCACTTCAATTAAACAAACAAACGTTTGGTCATTTGCATAATGAAAAAAAAAGTTTATCATCTACTGATCTTAATTGAAAAGGACAAAAAGTTTCTGGTGTTGTTGCTATGGTGTTGATGCTAGTGCTCAAACAGTTAGAAGAGTACTACAAAAACACAACTACATGTGGCAAGCTGCTTGCAAAAAACCACGTTTATTATTAAAACATCAGAAAACCAGAAAAAAATTATGTTTAGCTCATAAAATTTGATCTATGAGCATGTAACACAACATTCTTTTCAGAGATGAAATTAATATTGATTTTGATTTAAGTAATGCTGAAAAGAAAGCCACATAAAAATTAAATTGTTCAAATTGTTCTACATATAGAACAAAACATAATAATGGTAGTATAGGCATCTGGGCTTGCATGAACTATGAAGGTGTCAAAATATTTGATGAAAGGCTCGATTTTCAAAGATATTACTGGAAACATACATACTGGATAACTATTTAATGCCTTATATTGACATTTTCTTAAAAGAGATGGGAACTATCTTCCAACAAGATAATGTTCCATACTACTAAGATTTGGAAGTAATTGTTTGTAGAAAACAACATTAAAATCATGTATTGGCCAGCCAATAGTCCAGATCTCAACTACATAGAGAATTTGTGGTCTAGATAAACCAAAATCTTGGTAAAATTGAAGTAAAAGATCTAGACCAGCTGAAAGAATTAGCAACAAAATTACTGAAAAGTGTTCCAAAAGAAATTACTCAGAACTTAGTGAACTCTTTGTCGAAACATATCATTGAATGCTTAAAAGCAAAAGGATTGTCAACAAAATATCGACTTTTTATGTTTTGTAAGCATTTATTTATTAAGGCTTGTTAATTTTTTTTTGTGGTTTGTTTATTTCGGCTACATATATATTTTTTTGATTTTAAATTTAAAATTAAGTTTTTAAATCTTTATTATTTTATAATAAATTTATATTGTGATTCTTTGATTTATTTGAATTAAAAAAAACTCAGGAAAAAATCACTTTTAGTTTATAAAATATTTAATTTCAAACTTATATTCATACTAAGATGACATAATGGATTGTTATTAATGGCTAATACGGTATTTTCAATTAAAACAATAATATTGATATAATTTTTAATTAACAAATGATAAAAACATATTCTTGTTTAATTGTTATCATCTTGTAAACATCATTTTTGTTTCTAAAATGTCATCACTTAATGTTTTAATTAACATATTAATAGTATATCTGCATCACTGCTAGCCATTTAACATAATCCAAAATATAAAGTACTTCCATTTGTGGTAGTAGCTTGGAAATTTTGAAAATGTCTATGGCGTTTAGCGGTACTGTCATTGTGAAGACAATTGCTTGAATTACTTTCTACAGTATGTATCATTTCTTCTCCAACTTGAAGCTGAGCAAGTGCTAATGCTTCTCATAAATCTTGTATGACCACATGTGAGTATTTTATTTTAGACAACTTGGTCACAGCTGTTTGCAAGTTTTTTTGTATTAATCATTGTGGAAAAAACTAAGTTTCAAAAACAAAAAAAGCTAAACTAACAAAATAGGAAATAAAAAGAAATTTTAATAGAAATTAACAATTTAAATAATTTTTGTATAAACGTGTCTCCGCTAAAAGACTTAAAAGAAAAAAAGGTAATATGAAACATTTAAACATTGAAGCTTAAAAAGAATGTATATGTATGTGCGCCTTACTTAGAAAATACACTGAAAGACTTAACTGGTATAAGAAATCTGAATGTAATGAGATGTGTATCATTCAGAAACATACAACAAAAAGATTGTTTATATACAAATAAGAAAAGATAAATGGTTTTAAAGTTAAAATATAACCAGTGGTATAAAAAAATATAAAAATTGGAAATTGTATAAATCGAACCACAGACATTCTGTGTATGAAGTTTACACCTAATCTAAATAAGCTAAACATGCGTATACTTACAATCAAATAACTACACTTATAAAATACAAAAAGTTATACATACGCATGATTTAAAAGTATATGTAGACGTTTTCTTATAGGGACAACATATACTTGTACAAATTATTTAAACTATTATTTTTTTCTATTTAAGTTTATTTTATTTCCTATTTTATTAATTTTGCTTTCTTTGTTTTTGAAACTTTTTTCAGCAACACTTAATATAATAAAACTTCCAAACGGCTGTGACCAAGTTGTCTAAAATAAAATACTCATGTGTGGTCATACAAAATAAAAAACCGCACATGTTTCCTGATTTTTGCGATCAAGGAGAAGAAAAGTGTGAGGAAATCTTTATTTTCTTTGTATAATAACTTTATTCTAATATTAGGTGAGTCAATACTATTTTCAGGATTATTTAAACTATTAGAAAAAAACTTTTCATCTTTACTATCATGCTAAATTTTTTGTTTATATAATACAATTTTTTGCATGTAATTCTTTTTTCCTCACGAAGGAGTACAACTTCATTATCACTTTTTTCAAGCTTACCTAACTAAAGTTTAACTGTTTTATTAAAGTTTGCAATGACTTTGTTTTAGTAATCTTCTAATCTTTTTATTTCCTTTTCTTTTTTTTTTTTAAATTGTTGAATCTGTTTTATTACTTGCATGCAATAACTTATATATCTTTCTTGGGTTGTCAGATGTAAGTGTTTTATTCATATTACTTATATGAACTTTAGCAGATTTGAACAAATTTTTATAATCAGCAAAACATGTTTCAATCTTTTAAAACAATTTTTTGAAGTTTGATGTTTCAATTTTCTTTTTTTACCCTTCATTTTATTGTTCTCGCTTGATATACACACTTTGCTTTCTGAAATAGGCAGTATAAAAGACTTGAGCATTTATATATACATCTCTTTTTTTATTGTTTCTTCTTAACAATTTAAATTTATCTATCTTTTTAACAATTTAAATTTATCTATCTTTTTAACAATTTAAATTTATCTATATTATAATTTTAATTTTGTTTTAGAAACTCAAACTATTTTAAGTTACTGAAAATAAATTTGAATATCGGTTTCTAAAATTTGAGCACAATGTTTTCAAATATTTATCATTCAAGCATAAATTTCAATCATATAACTCTATATTATTCATTATACTGAAGTTAATTTTGTACAAATATTTATATCAATTATTAAATAATTTAGTAATAAATTATTAATATAATAATTACTACATTAATAATTATTATTTTTGTTATATTAGTTGCCAAAATACTTTTTTAAAATAATATTAAGATGAAGACTAAAAGGAGAGGATTAAACAGGTTTTTAAATTAAATTTAAAATTTAGGCTGAAGTACCAAATATCAAAACTTAGTTTTTTAAAAGTTATTTTTAACTAATTCATCACAAAACCAAAAAAATACAAACAAAAAACAAAAAGTGTTATCTATTATTTTAAATGGTGCTAGAATGCAAATAAAATAATTTTATGCTAATAACAAAAACTTAACTAAAATTGTTCCTAGAGCTAGATAAACTGTTATTTAAAAAATTTTAAAAGATTTTATGAAAGTATAATTATTTTACTTTTTGTAAAACTTTTTATTGACATAAAAGATTAAAAAGTTAAGTTTAAATTTATTCTGAAAAAGTATGCTTTATATATAAAAAAATATATATAAATGTGTGTTTAGATAACATCTCTGACTTCACACTGAAATAGCCTGCTGCCAGAGACTGGCAGTATATGCATGGATTATCTTAAAACCTGCTGCACAAAGGAGTGCTGACTACATCAACTAAGGTTTGGCATGGGGTAGCAATCTTTTCTTTAATTATTCTTCTGCTTTTAACCATATAGTATAAATTTTTTTAAATTTACGCTTTTAAAAACATTCTAGTCTTTTAATTTGTTTTTGTGGTTTTTAAAAAATTAAAAATTTAATTAGTTTCTCAATTAAATTAGTTAAAATATATATATATATATATATATATATATATATATATATATATATATATATATATATATATATATATATATATATATGCACACAAATTTAGTGAAAATGGAAACATACATTGTTTGTAGTTATGTAGCCAACAATCATAGGAGAAATAAAACCAGGCATTGATCCAAATACATTGCTAATTCCAATAATGACTCCAGCATATCGTGGTGCAATATCCAAAATGTTGACAGCATAACCTGTTGCATTGAGACCGGTGATACCTACTCCAGTACAAAGGAGTCCGATTGCTACTGCTTTGCTCTTTGCATAACCCACACCAACAATAAATATACTTGCTGTTGTGCAGCCTTGAATATATATATTATATAGTTATTTTATATATTTTTACTTTATATAATTAGTACATTATATATTTAAATAAAAATTTTTAATTAAAAATTCATTTTCATATTTTTTGTTTGTTTTATAATAATTATAACTTATAAGATGAATTTTTATTTTGATATGTGAAATACCTGTGGAAAATATGATACGACGAACATTTCTTACTGATACTCCTTTAACAATTAGCATATCTGCAATAACACCACCCGATGGACCAACTATTGCTTTAATAACATAAGGTAAAGAAACAAGGAAACCAGTCTAAGTATTAAAAAATCAAACAAATTTTTGTTAGTGTTTTTTTAAAAACATAATTAAAAATATAACTGAAAATAATAATACCAGACTAATAACTAAACATAAATAAAGTAGTGATTGACTGAATCAGAAAACAACGCTGAAATTTCGAGTATACTAGTTCAATACAAAACTGATATTTCAGCAAATATTTTACTGAAACTAAAACCATAATTTTGGCTAAACAAAATTAATTTCATAAGATAATGTTTTCAAAAAAATTAATTTAAATAAACTTATTGTTTATTTTTCTTTGCCATTTTTATTCCATCTTATATGATAATAATAAATTAAGTCATGAATTAATAATAAGAAAAATAAAAATACTTGAAGAAAAATAAAATTAAGTAAAATGCTTATATTTACAAAATATTATCCTTGTTCATTAGGGTGTCTCCAAAATTAATTTTTTTGAAAATCAAAATGTGGAAAGTAAGTTTTAATTTCAATAAAGTTTATTTTTCAATTGTTAAGAGAATTTTTTCAAATAATTTGTTAAGTGTAGTTAATTATAATAAAAAACAACACGTGTATGCTATGTATGATATGCTTTTTTTTTTTTTTTTTCTTGGCAAAAAAATATTTTTTAATAGCTTTACTTGCTGTTACAAAACAAACTACTGTACTGTAAGCTATATTTTATACTGTAAGTTTATAAATATATATAAATTTATAAACTGTACTGTTAACTATTTTTTCAGACAATTGCTTCAGGAAAAAAATGCTAGTATACAATACTAGAACCAGTTAAAGACTTGAGGCTGGTTGCAAGATTGCGTAGACAGTTTTGTTAGGCATTCCATTGCAAAGGTTTGCTCCAAATCCACTTCCAATGACTGGAGAAATGCTCAGGAGGGTTTACTGGCTTTACAGAAAAGAAACTAGGTAACATCTGAAAAATTTCTGAAATTTTATCTGTTAATTTGTACTTAACCATTTGACATTTTCTTAGCACTACCAAGATGAACTGTAAAATTGGATGTGCCCTTGCTTTAGGAAAAAGTTATCTGAAATACAGCAAGTTAGCAGAAGGTATGTGTGAAGAGAATTGGCGACACATAATCAGAGGTGTTTGCATTTTGAGAGAACTAGTAAACCTGTGGAGCTGGATTCTACAACAATTTTATGCTCACAGAGCAGCAAATCCAAGATAAAATTACCAACAAAATCAATGAGTACCAATCCCTAAAAAGACTGAAAACTCTAAGTCTACCAGAAGGAAGCTACTGCAAGAAAGTAAACAACTTTCTAAATGAAAGTAACTTCTTATTCCTAATTCATAAGGCCAACATCTTTAACTTGATAAAGAGTGATCCAATAAGGAACAAAAAGGCTTGAAAAGAGAACATTAAATTCCTATAGCACTGCCTCAAAGGACGCATGGTCAAGATGGCGGGTATTGATAACACATTTAAAAAAATGCTTGTTTGGCTGTGGAAAAAATAAGAATGGAGGAAAAAATGAGCTCACCCCCTACATGAAAAGCTTAGAAATCATGAGAAAAAAAATATAAGGAAGGTAGAAGAACTAGAACAAAGAGACTTTAAAGTTTCCTGGTACACAGACAGTGATATCTTTCCATACTCTGACAAAGCTTTTATGCCTCCTACAAAGACCCAAAAAATTTCAAGGGAAATAAAAGTTAGTCTTCAGCTAAGTATGGATGAACTCCTAAACAATTCAATCAATCAAACAACTGTTGACATCTCTTTATAAAGCTGGTGAAAATAACATTGAGGAGTTGAAGATCTCAAGATCAAATCTGACCAGGAAAGCACACGGTGTAGTAGAGTACGAAGCCCAGATCATCCCAGAGCAGAACATGGACAAAGTATGAGGCTTAAAACTAGTGATTCACTTTGACATTAAAATTGCAAGGCAATGCATCAGTGAAGAAGCAATTTTCACAAGTCATGAAATGATAGCTATAAGTGTTTCTTCTCCTGAAGCTGACCCTTTAGATTTTCTGCTTGGCAATTTGAAAGTTTAAAGCTCCAAGGAAAGTAACCAGGTTATAGCCATTCAAAGTATCCTCAAATACTATGAGCTATCAGACGAAATCATTGGGGTGTGTAGCAACACGGGAAAAAACAAAGAAGCTATAAGGAATGCTACTGTTCATGCTTTGGGGAGGCCTGTTCTCTGGCTAATGTACAGATATCACACATATGAGAAACATGTGCCTGATGTCACGGAACTTGTTTTTGGTATAACAAAAAGTCCAATCAAATACCTCTATGTTTTACTTCAGAAGCTATGGCCATAAATACACAGAGAAGTTAATAAACTTGAAAGAATTGTCCAATTTGAATGGTCTCAGGATGCATTTAGACCAGGTACTCTTTTGCACCAACTTAAAGTTGAAACTAAAGAATTTTGCACCACAGTACCTGAGAGAAACACTTTCCAGAGAGGAGACTACAAGTATCTTTGCCTGCTACTGACTTACTTCCTGGGTGCAGACATACCTAATTTCTTCTTTAAACAGTTAGGAGCTCACCATGAGACCAGGTTTATGAGTGACTGTCTTTACCTTCTTGTCCTGCAGATTACACAGACCTATTATCTAAATGATTCAAAAACAGTAGTGCCTGCTACTCTCAAGAACATAAACACTGATACAAATTACATTCCTATGGCAACTCAAGCTCCTTCAAATGACCTAAGAACTTTTAAGATAGCTTACCAGCTAAAAATGTTAGATGATTACAAAGCCTATACAGAGATTGGGAAAGTTCTTAACAAAAGCTTTCTACAGCACACTTGGTATCTAGCTCCCCAGCTTGTGGTTTTGTCTCTTGCTGACAGGGATCTAGATGCTGAAGTCAAGAACAAAATTCTTAACAAATTGCTGTATTTTGCAGCTCCAGAAAAAGGATATACGGTGCTAGAGAAACCTGTGCTAGAGAATCAAGCCAGTCTTTGTTCCAATATCATCTCTTGATGATTTTGTCACTGAGCAAAGTTATCTTCTCTTTTTCTCAGAGAAATCACTAAGGAAGAGCTTTCATTGTAAAGGGAGAAAAGTATAGCTGCAAAAGTGAGAGCCCCTAAGTCATTTGTCAAGTTCTCTGCTTGTGCAAATCACCTTGCAGTGGTAATTGATCGGGCAGAACATCACATAAAGCTTTTCCAAGACTTTACTGGAAGGACACATAACAAGGATAGACTTCAGGATACTCTTCGGGTAATTACTAAACATTATTATTCAGACCTGTAGCATGTAAATTGTTAGGGGGATGGGGTTGTTTTTAAAAAATTAGACAATTTAGAATAGCAAACACATATCATGCTCATTTTTAATAACACCTAACAACTTACACCTAACAACCCTCTTCCCCCACCCATATATATTGTCTATAAAACTGTTCAAAGTATTTCCATATCATTTTAATTAATAACCTAAACTATTAATTTCAAATACTTGGAATTATAGAGCTTGAATTAATTACTTTACAAAATTTTTTAAGTTTATTTGTTTACCTTTATAAGTTTATTTGTTATTTTCTAGGTTGTCCATAAAAACTGACAGCAAGTATTCAAGAAAGTTACAAAACTGAATATTTCCACATTTCGATTTTTGAAAAAAAAATTTTTTTTAAAACAACCTATTATTCACTTTCTATTTAAACTATTTATACCAAATTTGTTTTCTTCAATTAAATGTGTCCTTATCAGTGCGAGATTCAAATTATTATGCGCACTGCAATGGCTTGAGTATTTTCAGTTTTGATATTTTTAAGAAAAAAAATGAATACAGTATTTTTACTAACTAAAATGTTAAGTAATTTGTGAAAAATGGGCTTAAAATTTCATCTAGAAATGATAAAATATTTTTGGGAAAATGTCAAAAACAACTATTTTTCTAAATTAAATTAAAAAATAAGATAATACAAAACTTTCATTTTTCAGAATGTTTTTCAACGTAAACTTTACTTTTTACCAAATTTATGTACTGAAAAACAGAATTTCGGTTGATCACTTATATAAACAATTATATAAATTTGCAGTGTAATTAAAAAATTTTTAAAAAAGTTGAAAAAAGAGTGCATATTTATTAATATAATTATTTATAGAAATTATAGTGTATTAATTTTTTATACATGTCTATATGTGTTTAAATATAGAATTATATTTATACGTGACATTTATATCCCCAGAGATCCCAGCTCTGGTCAATATCAACCGGTTGTTTACTAATAGGAGTATTAATTAGTGCAATGTTATTTTATTACTAAAATAACAACTATTTATTCAGATAAATATTTCTTCAGCTAACTTCATACAGTTTTTAAAACTGATTTGAGATCATGTAAAAAAATAATGCAATAAAATCACAATAATAAATAATAAAATTGATTGCATGAATAAATAAACAAAATGCTTACAGTAGCAATATCAAAATGAAGAACTTTTTGAAAAAACTTTGGAATACAAATCAAAATTGTGTATAGACCCCAGTCAGCACTGAAGTTTCCAACTATAGTAGCCCATACTGGCAGTGATGTTATAATTTTTATCCAAGGAACATCAAGTTTCTAAGTAGTAATTTTAAATTTTAATCATTAAAATTATTAGAAAAAAAATAAAAAATTAAATAAAAAAGTTATTTATTTACCTCATGACTGTTTTTCTGTTCAAGACTTCCTAAAATTAATTCTCTTTCAGAATCTGAAATGGTAGGATGTGTTTTCGGAGAAGGGTGAATTGCCAAACACCAAACAAAAAACCACAATAATCCAACAGATCCTAAATTACAAGTTATACAATACAGCTGCAGATCTTGTGTGATTATAAAACACAAGAGTAAAAAATTATAAAAATTAATAAAAGTTCACACAAGCTTGAAAATATTTAACTAAAAATTTTAAAATATTCTTTTGCATTTAATTGCACAATAAAAAGTTTTCATTGCGCATTAAAAAAATTAACTATATTTTATAGTAATTGAAAATACATTTTAACTAAATATATACATGTACAAATACATACATATCCTTGCCAAATTATTAGGTGCACTATAATTTTTTATAAGATGCTTTGCTTAAGCTTATATGTAGTTTTTTTATATTTAAAACAGGGGTGTACCAGAAAGAAAAATTTTAATTCCAGCCGGAACAAAATTTGCCAGTCATTGAAATTCTGGCAAGAACAAGTATTATCATTACATTATTTTTTACCTTCAAGATTACAGTGAAAGCCTGAACCTTAGCATTGTGGCTATTCCCCTCATTTATTAGATATTTTAAAAATAAATGATGTCACAGATACATTAACAGAATATAAACTATGCCACAAAAATGTTAAACACGGTAGCCCCCCCCCCAAAAAAAAAAAAAAAAAACCTTAAGCACAACATAACTTATGCATTAGATCTACAAAAGCTGAGAAAAAGCCACGAAAGAGAAAACTAGAACAATTTAGTCACAGACGCAAAAAATTAACTATATTTTAATATAGTTAATTTTATAGCATAAATGTTGTTCCTAAAAAATTTAGGAATGTAAAAGACTGATGCTCCTCCAAAGTTAATTAAAGAATAACAAATTTTATTGTGATGGACAATCAAACTTTTTATATAGCTGAAAATCAGGGGTTAATTAAATTGATTGCTCACTTGCAACCACACTAACTAATTCCAAGTAGAAAGTTTTTTAAGGAAACAATTCTACAATTTTCATATGAAAAATTAAAAACCGTAGTATTTAATGACATTTCTGCAGCTGATCATATTTCATTTATTAGCAGATACTTGGAGAAATAACCCATACTAATGATGCAGTAATTGACTGCGCATTAAATTACAGATAATTTTAATAGAAAAAAATGTATTCTACAATGTAAGCATTTTCAAGGGTCCCACATTGAATTAAAAATTTTAAATATATTTGATGCGATGCTAATTGATTGGGATATTTCCAAAAAGAAAATACATACAGTCCTTCATATAGACAGTGTTTATAAGATGCAACTTGGAATTGACTTGATGGAATTCTCAAGCATCTCTTATTTTATTCATCAACTGCAGCTAGTTATAAAGAATGCCCATTTGCATTATAAAATTTTGATATAATTTTGATCAGGTTGCAGTATAAAATATATAGAAAATATATAATATATAATAAAAAATAATAAAATAAAAAGAAAAAGTGTATGCACTTATTTTAATCAATCGAGTTAGGCCTTCACCAATTAAAAAAAAAAAAACAGAAAGAATTAGATTCCAAAATTTTAGCACCTTTCCTAATGATCCAAGATATCCCAACAAGATGGAATAGTGTATATTTAATGTTAGATTGAATTAAGACTCTTAATATCTTTACAATTTTACACAGTAGACCACACTTATCAATTAAATTTGATATCAAGTTTAAGTGAATGGTAGTTAATTGAAAATTTATTGGGACTTTTACAACTTTTTTAATGATTACTGATACAGTCAGTAAATCAAAATCAAGGTTGTCATCAATAATTAGTTATACTTGTGTATTACATAATTATCTTGGAAGCCTTTCAGATGATTCTAGAGCCCAATCAATAAAGAATATGCTAAGAGAGTTTATTAAAAAAGATTCATGAATAATGTTTTATTAAAAGGTCATTTTAATGTACTAATGAGTCAAGTACATTATTTTCGACAGCTGTTGATCCAACTGTCACTTTTTCCTGATGAGCAAAAATATTTGGCTAAAAGTATAGCTAGAAAACTTTTTTCTGCCCTTGCTTCATTTGTCTATTCAGAGTGACTATTCTCAGAAGCATGTAACATTTTTAAGAGCAACTCTTGAAATTTAGGAATATTGTGGTGAAATTTCTGCACCACAATATTCCTAATTTTCCAGAAATCTTTAAATAATAGATTATTACAAATAAAATTACATTGTGTTTGTTCAAAAATTTGTATTTTTTATCTAGGTTTGTCTATAGTTCTTCATTGCCCTGTAGGATAATGACTTTTTTTATTTAATTTATACAGTTAATCTTGAAAAATAAATTTCACATGTGTTACATGTCTTAAAAATAAATGTAAAAAATAAATTCAGGCCTTCCGGCTATTTAATTACTATTTTAATTTCTATGAGAACCGAAATGAACTAAAAATTACAAATTCTGGCAAGAATTCCTGTTGGAACAGAATTTTGGTCCCCCCTAAATTAAAAACACATTTTATTTCAAGAGATTTAATATATATATATTAGGGTGTCCCAAAAACAAACTTTTTTTAAAATTTTAATATGCTCTCCACTGATCCCCATTCTGTAGGTCCTAAATAGTTACCAAAATCTTTTATTTTTATTTTTTAATGACTAGAAGTGATAAATGTAAATTCTGAGTTTTATGGTTATGTACACATGTGTATTTACATAAAAAACAGCGCTAACTAGAATTTCAATAGGTTTTAATATGATGTAATAATTGGTACACAAATAACTCCCATAGGACATTGTTAAAGAATAGGATCATTTTCTATGAACATTGTTAGTGATTGATATAATTCCCTCTGGACAATATTATTAGTTGGTATAACTCCTCATGGATTGGTTCACAAATAACTCCATTTAGAAATTTTTTTGAAGGAAAAAATTTCTAAATGGACTTATTTGTGCACGAAGGAATTAAAATTTGTGCACGAAGAAATTCTTGTGTAAACGGTTATAAAAGCCCTAACGGTAAACTTAGATAAAATATGATACAAGAGGGAATAACGACTTCATAGGTTTTTAATGCAAGTGTAAAATTCAGTATCAAATTAGTTAAAAAGCTGATTATTTTAAAATTCATATAAAAATGGGTAGAACAGCTAAAAAAAAGATGATAGGACAGAATAAGAAATACGGAAAAATACAGAAAGGTGAGGTATATTTACCTATTGAAGTACCCACTGAGGGATTAACCTCAGAGACAGCTTCCATCTAATGTTGATATTCTAAGATACTATCAATTAAATAACACTTTTTTAGTAGTGAAATTTTTTTTCTGATTTAAAGTAACTTAAGTAATAGCATATTATTTCCTTTAAAATATTTACGTTTAACTCCTTCCATGGTTTGGCTATCTTCCAGGAAAAACTAGAACAATTAATGATTTATTTATAAATGTCTTAATAGAATTAACTATTTCTTAATTTTTATGAAGACCAAAAGTTGGATAAGAAAGGATATATGGGAACAAACGTTGACAAAGACTACAGTAGGAGAGTACTGGATGCAAACAGGAGAAAGAACAAGCTAGATAAGTTGAGAGAGAAAGAATTAGAGAGACAGAAAAACGTAAAAGATATCAATGTTTTGTCACATGACTCCATGACAGAAGAGATTCAACTCAGCAGTGAGGGAGAAAAGCCAAACGAGGACTCTGAAATTAGTGAGGAAGAAGATTTCCTGGGTAACGGTCGGAAACGCAGGTATAGTATTATTTTAATAACATAGTTGTAATTTTCACAAGCTAAAGCTGTTTTATTGAAAAGTATATAATTATAAATAAGTAGAAAAGTATTATAAAACGATACCTAGAGAGAAGATAAGATAATGGAGAGAGGATAAATCTAGCAGTGCATGTTGAAAAGCTCATTGAATGTACTGCTATTCCAGCAACAAGGTTCAATGTTGGTGTACAACCTCATCTGGCAATTTTAAGTGAAGTATTTAAAGCTGGAGGTATAGAAATTAATGATATACTGCTTTCACCAAGCACACTTCATAAAAAAAAGTTCAAAGATGTAGACCTTGAAGGAGACTTGGAGTGGATTTCAATAACTAATCATCTTAAAGGCCGATGGCTTATTCCTCATTTTGATACCAAACTGTTGGAATAAATTACCACTGGGCTTAACATTATTCAAAAAATCAAGCAACTTGCAGTCTCAGTGAGTTGCCCGGATGACGATACCATGGAAGACCATCTTTTAGGTGTTGTTTAATGTTCTCTTCAAAGGGAATTGACCAAGCAGAACAAGTGCACAATCTTTTAAAATATTACGGATGTAAAGAGCAGGTCATTGGTATATGCTGTGATACAACTTCAAGCAATACAGGCAGAGTCAATGGAGCAGTCCAAATTCTTACAGATATTTTGAAAATACCAATTTTGTGGATAATGTGTAGGAGACACATATATGAAGTACATGTATCTCACTATATGGCTGCTCTTACTGGTGAGAAAACTAAAGGTCCAAGAAGAGCTTTTTATGTCAAGCTAAAGAACAAGTGGCCTGAAATCTGTGAGAAAGTTAATGAAGTGAAAAATTTATGTAAATTGGACTGGCAAAGAGATGATCTAAAGATTGGCTCTGTTCTTTGTATTGTTGCAGAGGAAGCTAAGAAATTTTTGACTAATGACTTAATTTCTGGCTCCCTACAATAATTTGAAAGCTATCCAGACAGCCTACGCATTGAGAAAAGTCAATAAGAATATTGGAAATGCTTTGCTTCTCAGCATGGGACGCCATACGTAGTACTTAACTCCGCAACTCTGTGTTTTGTCCTTTGGGGATAAAGAAGTTCCTTCTGAAACAAAGATAAGAATGCTATTAGCTCTGATTGAGTTTGAAGAGCCAAATGAATTTCAGCGCTGTAAATCATCAAATGTACAAATTGGAGAGACCACAGAGCTACCTGAGATGATTTCGGAGCAAAGCTACCTTCTCTTCAAACATTTAAAATATCAAGAGCAAGTATAAAAGAATGGCATAATAAAAGTCTTAATACTATAGATGTTTTTAACCATCCTAAATTGCTAGATTTTATTGC